CAAAGGGTGGGAGGGGGGGTTTCCACAGCTCTGCGGGGAAAGGGAGAGGAGGAAGCGGGCGGGGAGGGAAGGCGAGATAACGCCGCTTACCCGAAAAAGTTTCGATGGCTTTCATGGCCCACTGCTCGTCGGGGCAGTCCACAAAGGCATAGCCGGCCTTGACCAGGAACTGCCCGCTGAAGGAGATCTGGTGGTCGTTGAAGACTTTCTCCAAGTCGGCCGGAGTCACGTTCTCGTTTAGGTTCCCGATGTACAGCTTGTTCATGGTGGCGGCGGCTGGAAAGGGGTAGGTGGTACGTTAGGCAGTGATCACATTGTCGTCTGTCTGTTGTATTTCTGCTCTGTAACAAGAAATGCCATTTTTCTCGGGGGAGTAGTATGCAGACTACTGTACGTAGTCCTAAGACTTCAAATTACACAAAAATAATCATGAATAATCTGTGTTTAGCCTAGTAGCATTTAAAAAATACAAAAACACTTGGGAACAGAGCTAATAAGTTTTACTTCTTTTAGTAAGCAGTATGGTTCATACAGATTTGTAAAAGTCCAGGTTAAAGTGTCTATTTCTTATGACGTCCATAATAATTCACAAAGAAAAGAAAAAGGACAGCTGGTGGCTGAGAACACAGCAAAACCCACCCAGCTTCCATGAGCGGAATTCAGAAAGGGCTGTCTGCGCAGTGAAGCTCACGGCTTTTTTGTTGTGAGAACTGCAGTGTTTAGGGGAGTCCCATCACAGCCTGCAGATACTGTGAATTTGATTGTAGAGTGCTCAGGGGACACAAAACCATACAAGTAACACAGAAATGAGTGTCCTGTTCTTGGGGCTCCTGTCTACCTCACTGGAGTGTGAAACAAATTCCCCAATATTTTTATTGTATATGCTACACAATTTTGGGGGGCTTTGAATAGTTATTTTAGGGTGAGACAAAAATCAACAGGAAAACTGCTTACGTCACACCATTCTTCTGACTGCAATGGACACTATAATTCTTATTCATCTGCTGAACAGGAGCAGCCCCCTTTTTTTCAACGG